GTGGTGCTGCTGTCTGTGTGTTTATGGGAGAGCCTTGGCAGCTGCTATAGGTCCTTAATCTGGGGGAGGTGGGGTACTCCTTGTTTGCCTGATTATTGTGGGGGTCTATGGTAAGAGAGGGTCAGGTCTTTATGTAATACGACGCGGCCCTGGATTACAATGAACTTTTAGGGTCTGTGTTCATTTATCCTTTGGCCCAACATCTGTTGCAGCCTGACAGATGCCCAGGAATGCTGCTTTACTCTGCAATCATGTTTAGGTCTTGAGTGCACAATGCAGGCTTTTTGGGTACCTTTGAAGCCAAAATTGGAGTTTGTAAAAGGCCTTAACATTTTTCTGAAGTAAAACAAAACACCCATGGGAATGGCAGTGCAATTGCAATGCTGGAGGGAGAGCTCAAGCTCACAGTTTCCAAGGAAGCTAGCTGGAGACCCACCTCTTGACAAGGCTGGCAGCTAACAACTATTTGCATTGCCCCTTGAGGGCAGCAATTCCAAAAAAACCTGAGATACCTCCCATAGTCTTTTTTAGAGACTATGTAATAATACAGATTCATGAAGATGGTGTGCCCTTCATATGACAACCTTTGGGACTGAAGCTGATGAAATTTTTTGACTAGAACTGCTGTTTCACAACCACCAGTGTCCATCTTGTCCTCCCAGTAACCCCTTCACAGTGCCCATGGCCTCCTGTAGCTTTGGTCCCAAGGTTTCCCCACTCCTCTCCCTGGGTGAGAGGGGAAGGAGCATCATGGCCCTGGGGAGAAGTAAGGTCCATCTGATGGCTCCCCTTGCCCTGGGCAGGGCAAATCATGTACCAGAATCATTTCTCCTTCCTGTCAGTGAAGACAGAAGAGGGCTAGATATGCTGGAAAAGCAAAAGTAACACCCTGCTCTGTGCACTGCTTTCATTCCCATGAGCAAGTGTGGTTTATATCTGGGGCGCTTCACAGGGCACCAGTGAATGCATTTCATTGCAAGTTTTGGAGGCTTAATTTTACTACTGTGTCACTAGGGGGAGATTTTTGAAGGCACAAATGTATTTAAGTGCTTACTCTCTTTTGAAAGTCATCAGGAGTTACACATCTAAATGGCCTTTGTGTGTGAGGGAAATATTCACCGTGAAATGGGGAGAGCCCACGTATCTGTTGCAAGTGATAAAGAAAACCAATGGGTGAGGCTACACTGAACTGGTTTTTTGTAGGTTTTTTTTGCTGGCCTTTTTGTTTTTTAAAGTGCCCTCACATCCTTCATTTCTCACAGGCTGGGATTTGGTTTGTTACAAAGCACTGCGATACCTCATCTCCTCAGTAGAAATCCTCCTAGATGGTTTTGAGATAAGAAGACTGAGAAAATCCACATAAGGAACGTGTCTTTGTACAGACGATACCTGGCTGCTTTTCTGTCTAGAGATTCAAGAGCTGATGATGTCTTACAAAGGCTCACTCTATCTGAGGGTCCCCTCAGAATGCGGGGGGAGCTTTGCTTTGACAGGCTTTAAAGTCCGTGTAATCTCTTGCAGAATGGCGTTTGCTTTCACAGCTCCTCAAGTTGCACCATGTCCTGATTTCTACGCTTGTATTTGTCACTGAAACATTGCCTGAGCTTGGGTGAACAGTGCTCAGTCTGAGTGAGAGCTGCTTACTTTGGGTGTTTACCACTTTTTACTCTGTTGTGAAACTATCCCAATGCACAGAATATTATTGATAGCATCAGAGTGAGTGACTAAACTGTCCTAAATGGAAACACGAGGGAAGGTGAAGGATGCAAATAAACACTCTTGTCTGCCTGGAAGTACAGAAGCACTGGCAAAGCTTTAGGCAAATAAAAGGCTATTTGTACCAACATTGGTGAAAAGGCTATGGGCACAGTTGAAACAAAAAGGCCTCAGCAGTGTGCATGTTTGTGAATGATACTTTAACTAGGTTTAAATACCTGTACTGGGCATTTGTGGCCTTAAGCATCTGAATTTGCTATTAGCAGTATTCTTTAAATGCTGGTATTTCCTATCAGAGCAAGGCATAGTCTTATAAAATGGACCTGTGTAACTATCATGTCTGTGGGCAGACCACCATCCTTCATCTGTGTGCAAAATGCAGGTTAAAAAGGTTGCTGTCCTTTTGTGCCAGGAGTGGCCATACGTCACCTTGCTGGTCTCTGAAGGCTCTTGAGGAACTTCTGCCGATTGGTGAACTCATTCGTTCTGACAGTCTATTACCTTCTTTGTTTTGACATATTTTCACTCTCCCCATTAATGTTTCCTGTTTTCATGAATCTCCCCCTTCTGCTGCATTTTCCTGTGTGTGTTTTTTGTCTCCCAGATGTTGTATGCCTGGCTATTTCAGTAACTCTTTGCGTACTACAGAATTGAAAAAAAAGGCAAGTGGAAAAACCCCACATTGGAATGATAGCATATTTTCCATGCACATGTCACACGTCACAGGTTGGCTGAAACATATTCAACTGATACATTAAACATCTACCTAAAATACTGCAATACAAAGTGATTAATTATTGTATCCATTCAGTGTATGAGTTGGCATCCGCTCTTTCAAAAAGCAAGAGGCTAGCAATGATTTGCTAGCAATGATGGAATTGATATTTGTTCAGTGCTTGAACCTGTTTAGGCACAGATTTGATTGATATAGGTAGTTTAGGACTATGGACTTCTTGGAAAGACATGATATACTTATTAAATGGCAGGATGTGGGGCAGGATATTTGAAGGTGCACACAGTAGCTCTTATTCTAACTTCCTAATGATTGGTACTTCTGAAAGTCAGGCTGTCTATTTAGGTGCCTAAATGTGTATGTCTACACCTGAAAATGTCAGCCTGCAGAGTAAAGCTCAGCCATGCCTACTCTTTGCTTACCAAGGTAATTGTATCTATATCCAAGCAGAGTTATCAGGGTCAGGTTATTTTCCCATATGGCACAGTTTGTACGTAGTATATCCTTGCACTAGTATGTAGTGATTGCTGTGGGAGCTGAAGTGGGATGATTTCCTTAGTTTTACATACCTGTATTGCCTATCTTTGACAGCTTGTTGCTGAAAACTCTACAACAGTAAATACAGATAAACCTGGGTTCTAAGCTCCAGAGGTTTTGTCAATTTACCTCTGAGATTTAGTTGCCTTAAATATGTGTCAAGTCAAATTTCACATTGGAAAGGGATGACTAAAGACCAGGTTATTTGGAATGGACAGCAACTATTTTTGTCATAGTTCTGTCAGCCTTCACCTCAGTTCTGCAAGTGAACATTTTCTAAGTAAATGTTCTTGAAGCGTGTTTCTTCCTCCACTTGGGTGGAGGTCACTAACTGTAGAGTCTACAAGTACACTTGGGAAGATTTTCACCAAATCCCAGCTGTTGGGGTAACCCGTTAACCAGTACATACATCCTTGGAAAATGTCTGTGGTGCATACTCTACTGTTTTTCTTCAAAAGACCCATGGTGTGAAAAATATGCTGCCTTTGAACAAGCTGACCACATGTGCATACTAAGTCCACTGCTTCTGGAATGCACTATTAGGCTTGTCATGCCCATATGGCCAACTGGATTTGCTGCATGAGTCCAATGTATGGGAAATTTGACCTATGAAACTAGCAGAATCAAATTCCTCATTGGCATCTGGCCTGGCTGCAGACTGATAAATCTTGTTCTTGCCTTTTGGTGAATTCAGATTTAGATCTGTCACATAAGAGCTCTGCTAGTTTTCTTTCCTTATCTCTGCTACTTTTCAGTGCATCTACTGTTTAGAGAAACTGCCACTGGCCTAACCTCTCTGCCACTTCAGTAGCTTTGTAAGTCCTCAACCGAAGCTGGGCATAAATGACCCCTGAGAAAAACTTTACACAAGACAAGGTCCCAGAATTTCTTCTTACTCCTTTTCTTCTGAGGTCACTACCTGAGGTGCCCAGGATGCTGAGGATCAGAGGAATTCAATCTATAAATGCAATTAAATTATTTAGAGTAGAACCTTTCCCTTCACATGTGTTGTTGATCGATGGTGGTGCTCAGTCCTTTGCCCATGGAGCGTGCTAGAGCAAGAGCCCCCAGGGTGTGATACACTGGTAACTTGTGACATGCAAGGCACTTTGGAGTGGCAGGAAGTGTGCCAAGCACAGAGGTGGAACACTTGGCAGAAAGGATTTCAAAGCTCTTGATTTAAAACCATATCACACATGGTTTTGGAGAATCATGACAGTCTCCCAAAACCTCTTGTTACTTTTTTGTATTGTGAAAATGCCACCTGACACTGTCAAGTGATTGGGGTGCTATCATACTGTCACCTGATTCCTTTACCAGACAGGCTTGTTGGATGAGTTAGGAACTCCAGGAGTTTGGACCCTTGATGGCAGCAAAGTCTTCTCTTTAAATGTATGTATAACATGTTTTCTATGCCCTCTTAAAAGACAATGGTACCTGGGATTTCTTTCAGATCCAGATGGAAAGCTTTTGTTAAAGGGAGTGGTAATGAGGCTTAGTAAGATTTGTTTTTTGTTAAGAAAAGATCATCTGGCGCTTGCTTTTGGAGCTGGTTGCTCATGAAGGTTTCTAATTCAGGGTCTTAATTTTTGTAAAGAGTGAATTACAAGAAGTCAGAAGAATGATGCGAAGAGCATTTAATAATGCACATTCACAAAGAAGTGGTGTAACTACATTAATTAGGCAAGTCTTGCGTAAAGATGCAATGTAATTATATATTTGAGACAGTTAATTAGGGAGCTACTTGGAAATTTCAGTGAATATTAAGGTAATTATACATAAATACTATAACCATTAAGACTGCACCCATAGTGAAAGCAATAACTAATTACATAAATAACAGCATACTTATGTTTTTACATTACCAGTACCTAACAATACTTCCTCTCTTTCCCTGCTCTCTTTGCCATGCAAATGACAAAACTTCAATTTTTAATTCAGATATTCTTCCAAATTGTTGAGGAAACAATGAACTTTCCTCTTGTTCTCTTTCTCTAGAGAAGACTGGATAACAGCAGTTATGCACACCTAGCAGGAAGACAGTCAAACATATTCCACATGTCTACAAGTTACATGCTGAGTTTTCAGTGGCTGCCCTTGGATTTCACACAAGCCCAGGTCTGAGAAATTAATAAAGAAATTGTATAGCTGTAAAGATAGTGTTTTAGACTTTTTAGGCAGCTTTGAGTGAATCAGTACTGAGAGTTAGATGAATGGATGCCGTAGAAACTGGGCCCTGCGTTTCATAGTGTTGGGCCTACGGGCAACTACCAAATGCTTGTATTTCTCACCATTTGGTTCTGTCAGGGTTTGGGGTATCTGTCTGTGGTCAGCTTCATGTTCACCTAAATATGCTAGTTTCCAATATGTGGCAACACTTAATGTACTGTGCATGTTGCTATCTTTTTTCCAAGCTACCTCAACAAGACTCTAACTCAGGTTCCCTAAAAACTTAAGAACTGCTATGCTGAGAACTTTATATGAGGTGCAGCCTTACTGACTCAGCTGAAATACAAAATTGTTACTTCCAACCATACTTGCTGAATCAATGATAGTTTCTAACAACTCTCATCTAAGGATCTAAAAGGGTCTCAGAATGAGTCTGTGATTTTGTGAACTATCGTGATGGAGACTACAGGTGAGGAAACGGAGGCACAAAGAACTTGAGTGACTTGTTCGGTGTCATGAAGAACATCCAGAGTCCTACTGTAAGTCTCTCTGCTCTGTTTTAGTCAAAGTCATCCTGTCTCCTGCCAGAGGGATGTGGTGCATGGTTTGGTGTCTAATGACAGTACGCTTTTCTGTCTTTGTTAATCTTATCTGAATAATTAAATTGACCTGGTGAGACAGTGGAGTTCACAAAGGAATGTAATTTTTAGCCAGTTGTCCATATTATTATGCTTCCATTGACATCATGACTAGCTGTCTGAAAGGGCCCACAGCAGCATGGGCTCTGTGGATGTTTGTAATGTCCTGCAGAACAAGGTCATAACTAGAGCGGGGCTGGCATCTGGGATTTCTGATGATGTACAAAAGAAAAAATGAGGGCAATTCTTTCCTTGCTAAGTCTTCTTTCCATTAAGATATTTACTCTAAGGTATAAATACTGAGGCAAAGTTAAAGATGATTTAGGATGACATAGTAAATTTTGCTATACTCTCATTGCAGACTTCAGGGCAAGAAGCTGAATGCAACTGAACCATATTTTCTTAGCTCAACAACAGTGACCAATGATACTTCCTGCCATAAACTTCAAAACATGTCAAAGGCTGGTGGGACCTTTCAAATTATTTTGATTCTAGATAAATAGTATCATAATTTTGAGATGTAAAATCCTTTGAATCTCTATAAATGATCTTACTGTAAAGGGTTTTACATTACGGCTCATGTTCCAAGGTCGATCAGTTCTTTTATCTTTCTTTTTTGTACTAATGTCACTAACTTTTTAAGCTCTTAATTTCTAGCAGAGTGAGATTAGGGGGAGTTGACCTTTGTTGGCATTATAATACATGGACATTGAACTTTGTGTAGATCTGTTGGAAGAAAGATTAATTAACAAATGCTATAGCACTAGATAGCCTACGAAAGATAAATTGTGTCAGATTCCTGTGATACCTTTCTCTGAGTTTGTGACCAAGAGAAATATAGTTGCTCTAATTAATCAAGATTTCTGTAAAACGTTTAACACAGTGGTATGTGAAAGAAAATAATTTGGATTGGAGAACATATGGCACAATAAATGTAAAGAAATGACTATGGAAATATTGCCGAGAACTGAGCTGAAAGAACTGCCAAGGGAAAAGAACAGTAACTAGCCAATTTTATTAATGATAGTCTTTTGACCTATCTGAACATTTTTATTTGTAGCCACAGCAGAAATTCTGTGCAAATACAAAGTCTGTAAAGGACAGAAAACTAAGAGGCCTTGACAGTTCAGAGAAGGACTGACCCTGACAATGGGAGAAATGAAAAACAGATAAAATTAAGTACTAATAAACCACAAGGTCATGCAGATGTTTTTTTGCTCTGAGCAGGAGGCTCATCAGCTGGAAGTAACAGAGAAGTGTTTTGCTGAATCTCACAGTGATTGACAAATGCTGGCTCTCTACAACAGCAGGGAAGGGAAGTATTCCCTGAGATGTTCCCCTGGATGTTGCATCAGGGGAAGCATATCCAGGAAACGTGGGATTCCTGACTACTTTTGTACAAGACACTGGGGACATCCAGAAAAAGACAGAGTATAGAAAAAGGGATATTAAATTGAGATAGGAAATGGGGAATAAAAAACTGTGTCTTTAGTTTAGCAAAACAAAAACTGAGTATGGGTATACTGCTTCCTATGAATATATCATCAGAGTAAGTGGTGAGAGAGAACTGGTTAACTTAGGGGTGTATTGAATGCCATAGGAACAATTGATAGTAGCCAACTGAATAAGTGTTCTTTGGAAAAGCGATGAAGGTTTTAATAATGTGAAGTTTTGGAGCAGCTTTCCATTAGGAGTCACAGGGGCAAGAAAACTACGTGGTTTCAAGAAAAAGCTTGAGAAATTTATCAATGAGATTGTGATGTTGTGATATCAATGAGATATGGTGTGTCAGACGTAGCAGGGGATGACCTGGAAGGACTCTTCCAGTCCTATTTCCCATGTAAAACTATTCAACAGAGCCCCTGGTCTCCAGAGTATTTTTTCTGTAAAAAGACTTCAATAGCAAGCAGGGAAAATGGCCTTTCCTTTGGATTCTTTGTTTGCCCTTATCTATACAGGAGACATAGATCCGATCAAAGTGCCAATGAATCTCGTGGTAGGTTGGATGCAGATCTCTATTATCTGTGTGACAATACCTTTCAGAGGTCCTGCTCATTACTGGGGCCCAGCTACTTTCCATGACTTGACTTTATGATCCCAGTTCATCTCTTAGTTAAATCCATCTGAAGCTGTTTCCTTGATAGCCCCTTTAATATTTTACAGGTTTCTTACAGTTCTTGTATTCTTGTAATCTTCTGAGGTCCTTCAAAGCAAGCCAAACAATCTTCTACCTTTCACAGAGCCATCATGTATCCAAACCCATGAGTAGATCACTAATTCTCTGAGATAAGATCAATAGCCAGTCACCCTCTGCTGTCTTAAAAAGATCTAGCAACTCAGTCTAGTCGTAGCAACTGAAAGAACTGTTAATAATGGATGACAATTGACAAAACTCATAGGTGTGAAAGATTTACCAGAAGCATGGTGTTCATGCATACTGCTCATTGATTGACAGCCCCAACAGGTTAGAGGTTACCCATGGAATACAGTCTTGATGGCCTAGGATGAAATGTTCGTTCTGACCCTTCTGTAAGCTAGTGATACAAAGCACTGGCTAACATATCATTAACTTGCGACACCATGATGATGGGATTAAGACCCAGAGGGCTTTATCTCTACCTTATTAATGGCAATTAAAAGCTGCGTGACAGTTTTAAAAGTTGTTGATGTAAAGAAAGTTAGTGCCTGTCTTACAGAGGCACAGTAAATAATTGTCTGGTTGCTTTGCTTTTCGTAATCTGTCCATGCAGCTGTATATTATCATTATTTTGCTGCAAATACAGCTTTTCGATTTATCAACAAAAGAGCAGGTAAGGCTCTATGTAAATAATGATGAAGGACACTTCCAGGCTGGATTTTTTCCCATTTAGACTGCTGAGCATGGAAGAAGCAGAGGATTTTCAAAACTAATAACGATATCTGTTAGACTTGTTTTTCAAAGCCTGATTGCCCCCCCAAAAATTTAAACTCAGTAGTATTTGCTTCACCTGGGTAATTCATAGGGTAGGTATTAAAAATTCTCTCCACCCTTCTTTATATGGAAATGGATATTTATTCTTTCTTGGGTGTTAGCCATTGGTGGAGCTGTACTGGTTTCATGGCAAGAAGTTTCACACCTCTTGTTCTTCTGCATATTCAAGGAAATATGACTACTGAGACAGCAACAGTGTGAGTGCTGTGAACTAGAAGTAGTTCTGTTATGTTCTTCTGCTCAAGTCCCAATCTACATTGAAAAGAAAGGACTAAACTCAAATGTATGCTCTATGTGAAAAGTCCTAGTCTCCAACATTTAGTAGCTGTTCCTGTGCTCCTAAATATCCTGATTATTTAACTGCTCTGTTTGTGACATCTCACTTTCTGGGCAATATTTCTGAACCACCTTCCTCACTCCTATTGTCCTGTCCAAATGTGCATTAGGTGCTGTTTCATGAGAACTGACTGTCCTGGTATTGGGGGGCCTTGTATGCTCTGAATCCTTCTCGATCTTTTGGGAAGTACAGTCAGGTTTTTGCTCCCAAGAGCTAATCTCAACTCTGTGGAGTGACAGAGTGGAGCAAAAAAGTCATCTGTGCAGCCACCAAAGAGGCTTGTCCCCACTTACTCCCCAGCAAGCAAGGGGCAACGGCTAGGTCTACCTTCCTCTGTATTAAGTTTTTGCCTCGGTCTTTGCCTCAGGGTAATAGAGGCTGGAAAACCTTTATGTATATATATTGCGCTTGGTTGTTTTTGAACAAGAGAAGAGGAGCCTTAGCTTTTGCCACTGCTGTTATTTCAGAGGTGTCAGCAGCTGTGGCAGGCTGCAGTGGCCTGTGCCTGGCTGGGCCACTCTGGCTGTGCTGAACTGGCTTCAGGACTCCCACTGGATGCTTTCTTCTCCCAGCTCCCCAGAAGCTGTGGGACTGGGAGACAGTGCCTGTCATTTTAGCCTCTTGCCACTCCAAGGCAGAGATTGCCTTACACTTGTAGTTTATACAGCCCCAAGCACAATGTCAGCATTACACATTAATTAATAATAGTGGCTTATATTGCTAATCACTTAATTATAAATTATGTCTGCTGGGTATGCCTGCCATCACATATTACTTTGTAGTTACATAGATATACACATAGTGTATCTGGGCTTTTGTAAATCAGCTTGTAGTTGTTCAATGATACAAAGGCTATGCCAGCACATAAATCCAATGTAAACTGCTAATCATTTTAAAATGAAGACAAAGCAATCTGAGTTTTAAATCCATAATGCAAGAGAATTACAGTGCATGTGTCTGAAATTTAGGAGGAGAACTTGCTTTGCAGACGTTTCAATTGTAA